GGGCCCTGGAGACACTGCCGGATGCAGCCCCTGCTGGGAGGGGAGCTGCAGGCTCCATCCGGCCCCTGGGCTGGAGGATTTTTAACAGCCCTCCTACATGTACAAGGTAGCGTAGTCCTTTCTGAGAGGTGCAGCTCGGGGGCCCGAGAAGAAAAGCCAGCAGAGCACGCAGTTTTCTTCCTGTTACGTTGCTGATACCTCTGCTGAATCCTCCAAGCTACCCGGCCCTTGTGTTGTGGAAAACGTGACCCTGACCCTGGGATGTAACCCTACAGGAGCTCTTATCACAGCAACCAGGATTTCTAGCAACATACACCAAACACGGTCTAAATCGCCACGCCAGTTCAGTCCTCCCAGCAAAGGAGAGAGGACATTTATTAAGCTTCAGTGGTGCGTTCTGTCCGCATTCGTTAGCATTTCACTTACAAGCTCAACGTTTCTGAAAGGAGATTTGTGTTATGAATAATTCATTGTAAGAAAGGATGGCGTCAAACACAACAGGGCCAGGTAGCCTAGCCTGAATTCATTTCATCCCATAAGTCCACCCTCTGTGCAAGCGAGAGAAAAAGTACAATATGTTTCTTAGTTAACGAAAACTACATCTTTCCATTCAGCCCAGCTTAGAAAGGAAACGCTGCCTCCCAGGGTACAGCCTATTCATGAGACTCATGTTCCTTGAACAGTTTAAAAAAAAAAACAACCAAAAGAACAGTGCAAGGTTAATTGCTTCTTATGGATTTTGCTAGCACTCAAAAGTAGCAGTGTTTGCTCACCCTACGCTGAATGCAGCAAAGAAAGGGCACAACCCTCCACATCAATGTGTGTCCATGAGGAAATGCCACTGGTTACGGATAGGCTGCCCACATGGAAGTCTGGGACCCTGTCTCTTCCCCCCTCACCCCCACTCCCACAAGTTGGCAGGGGTGGGGCTGTGTGCTGGACAGGCAGTTGTGCCTGCCTGCAAGGTGCTCTGCACCACTCCAGCTCCCAGCCAGATGACACCCCTGTGTTTCCAGGATATCCATTATAATTCCTACCAGCTGGCAGGAACCAGCCTCTGAAGTCCAGGGCTGTCTTGGCTAAAACAGGACATATAGTCACCCTAACTATGGAGCATTCACTGTCTTCCACCTTAGTCCCCATGAGCCGCCAAGGGTCTAGACTTGAAGCAGCACAGAGGAAGTAAGGTTATCACAGCTCGCTCTGAACACCTCTCAGCATTTGATGACTTCTGAGCCAGTCCCCTGCAGCTTTCCACCATTAGAAGAAAAAACTTACCTTGCCACTGAAAGAAAGCAAACAGGGAGGGAAGCACAAGGGAACTGAACTCAAATGCCACTTGTGATGAATCATAGTATTTCCCCACTGAGCAGGCAAATAACATTACAGAGATGCCATTACACAAACTCAATTTAGTCAAGTAACATAACTGGTGTCAGGCAGCACAATCTAATGTAAAGAGCTCATTTGCAATACCTTTAATATATTTAGGTAGCTTACTATTAGCTTAGGCTTGACAAAAATAAATAAATAAATAAAAAGTTGCACTGTATTCTGGATACTGAGCTGTCACAGCAAAAGCATCTGAGAAGAGACAGGCACCTCCAAGTTGGAAAAAAAATGGTTTTCTTCAGTCCAAACTACAGATGCTGAACACAACACTGGGTTTTGGTTTTAGTTGAGCTGCCAATCATGTTGGAGTGAGCCAAATTGGCAGCTCAGGGGACCTGAGGTCTCCTCTCCCCAAAAGAGATAACTAGCATGATTCAACCCTGAGATTGCACTGTGGCCCATCCAGCTCTCACACTTTCTGCAGATCTCCAGCAAAACAGTCTGTGTGTCTCAAATATATCAAACACTTAATATAACACCAAAGCAGAAAGAATGAGACACAGTTCCCCCTTTCTGGGCAATTTATGGGCCTCCTACATATTTTGATGAATTAATCTCTTAGCTAATCTGTTTTTGCTATACCATTTCAAATGCTGCATCATTTATCTTTTTGTCCCTTAATCCAGAAAGAGACTCAGATTAGAGCTCTACCATAGATTTAAGAATTTCTCCCCTACTTCAAGGTCCCTAAAATCATACCAACTCACCACCTCCCACTCTGATGAACCCAAATACTGTTTAAACTCTTTAAAAGACTCCTCAGCCTATTAAACAAGCTCTAAATTTGGCAAAAAGTACTTTACTTTAGTTAACTCCCATTCAAATAAGAGCAGACAAGAAGTGAGAGACATTCCCTTTTTATTAATTAGAAAAATTTAGAAGAAAATTGTAGGGCACATCCAAGTAATAAAAAAGGGATCACCCGTTAAAAAAAAATTCTATAGAACCTGCCTAAGATCATAAACTAATTTCTTTGGGTTAGAGATGGGCTTGTCACAAACCCCTAAACTGAAAACACTCACAGTGCAGGGAAATTTGGGGCCAAACCATTCTCTGCTACAGGCTAACTTTTGCCCTTAGATTCATACATCCTAATCCTATCAATTTCAGTGGAAGTTGGGTATCACGGCCCTCACAGTAGAATTTGCCTTAAATGCTGATGAATACGATTCACCCAAAGAACCTTGTCTGCCAATGAATATGGTTTAGCTTTCAGACAACAAATGCTTTGGGCCATGCTAAAAAGAACTCTAGGGTCACAAAGACTCATGGCTGACTCTTTAGAGCAACCTCATAGCAGACTGCACAGCAGTTTTACAAGCAGTTAAGAAAATTCTGTTATTTGGCATCTACCAAAAAACCCTTCAGAACTCAGGTGCGAAGGTCACACCTCCACCGTTAAGCAGGTACAACATATGCCGATGGATTCTGCCCGGCTGAGATGAAAAATTTTCATGCTCCTGAATATAAAGCAATGAACGTTGTTTCCAGCTGCCACTGCAATAGCATCATCCTCTTCCCATCACAAAGCTTGGCTCTTCTGCATCATCATCTTTCTCTTTCTCCTCCTTCGTATCATCTGCCTCTTCCTCACTGGACTGTTGCTCTTGTGACTGGTCAGACTCTAAATGGGGAAAATGGGATAATCTGACGACATGTAGTGAGGAAGGCACATCAGAATAATCACCAACAAATCAGTCTTGGATGTTAGGGAAAATAAGTTTAGGTCACATCTTGCTCCTTCCCAAGGGTCATCACAGAATTGCTCCCAACAGTGTATTTACTAACATTCTATCCAGCTAAGAGACCCCCCCACAGAACCAGTCTTACTATGAGAAATAGCACCCGCATTCAGACTGCACTTCTGTTTTATCTCAGTAACCTGATTATTACTATCAGCTATCATATGATTAAGTAACGGTCTACAAGAAACGAAAGGAAAGTTAGGCAGAAACTTTAAAAGGGCCAGTTCTGAGTACTATTTTTTCCCCCCGCTCTCACCTCTGCATGTATACACATATATTCCTGATTGCAATCAAAAAGGAATTGGGAAGCAGAGAACCAACCGTGGAGTGCTCTTTGGAATTTCAACGTCTAAATTTGCCCACTCAAAAAATCAACATACTATAAAATTGCTGTGATATCTGCAGAAGGGACAGATTTGGCCTGGCCTCGAGAGAGCTCCTTTCGGATGTATGCTGCAAGGAACGTTTGTGGAAAGCTCACAAAGTTTTAACCCATTAGAGAAGGACCCAAACAGAAATTAATCACTGGAACACCAGTGATAAACTCTGAAGGTTTGGTTGGATAGAATAGACCTGAATCTCTTACTGCCCCTCTTCTAGTTCCTGCACTTTGTTTTGTTTGGGTAACAATAATACTTAGTCCAGTCTCTGACCTTTGAGGATCACATTTAGTAGTAGTTTGATGCCACCAAGTGGTAAAATTATGAACTGTCATTTGCTATTAGCTCCATGCTTTTTTCCTACTGCACTGATGGTGAAAGGCATTGGATGTGGAGTTCTGGAGACAAAAAAATCTTAATTCAGATAAAAGGCAGCAGCCTGGATGCCACACCCACCAAATGAGCCTCAGCCTGTTCTTGGAAGAACCCTTTAAAAGACAGTGTCTGAGACCAAGAAAATTGCCAGTTTGTACCAAATGTGATGCTGGTCCTAACAAGCAACTTGCATATGAAAATCTTCAAGTCATACCACCACTCCTACCACACAAGTCCCATGCTCACCAACATGCTATTAATCACAATAAAGATCCTGAAATTTAAACGTCTCTCCTGATCAAGCCCCACAAACCAGAAACATTGTGATGAATTCATTGAGTATCACTTCGGTAACATCTTCCCATGGATTAAATTTGGACCAGTGTGTTTTAATGGCTCGCAGGCTGAGGTACACACATGCAAGGTTCAAAACAGATTTGATTTTAAAAGCAGAAAATGAAGCAAGCTGGAAATACCAATCAACTCCTGACACTTGCGGAACTATCAGGCACTGCTAGTGTTCCAACAGTAAGAGTGACTACTGAATAGGAATGCAAATCACAAAATGTTTCTAAATACTTTGACCACTCTTGTATCTGAAGTTGTGGAGTCAACTTACAAGTGTTTGGTCCTCAAAAACAAACAAAAAGGTGTTCTTGAGCTTATCAAAATTAATTTTTCAAAATTGATGGTTTCTTTATAATCCTAAAATTTATTTTGCATAAAAAATTCCATTGTGCGCAGAAAAATAGTGGCACTGAAATGGATCAGGCTTGTACATACCGTACCATAACTCATTTCCCTACCGTCCAAAGTGTTTATTAGCATTTATTTTCTCTTTCACTATAGTTCTAATTCTTTCTGTACTAGCTTCAGTATACAAACTGTTCATGTAATCTATAATCTTTTAAAGAAAAGACTTTTTTCATAAATTGCTTTAATTTCAAAGTTCTAAGTCAGACTGGGCCAAAAAAATTGCAACAGGATCACCCTAGAAAACACCAGCATCTACTGCAGTTAAGTAGTGAACAAAATCAGTCAGCAGTCCAAGATATTTGGAATGAATGGTAACATTTTTTTAAAAAGCAAAAATGACTTTTGAGCATAAGTCCTGCCTTAAGTAACTTTCCAGGAGAGCTTCTGAAAATGTTAGCTGAAATTTCAAGTATAAGGACCAAACTTGACCTCTACCACATGGGCGTAAGCTGTACACGTCGGTGAGAAATAAATCAACTCAGTCCTTTGGACTGGAGAACTGAACTGAACACCAAGGGTAGAAATCGACATCACCAAATGAACCAGATTAGTTGTGTTGGGATATAACCTTACTTGTATGACCAATGGGCTGGGCAATGGGCTGTCCAGCTTCCAGAAATGTGCCCCAGAAATCCCAAGGTAAGTCCCTGGAAGCAAGGAAGCCTGGCAGGCACTCCCAAGGCTTGAGGGGTCTGATCCTGTATGGGAATTCCTGGGGCACAAAGGACCAAGCCCCAAGAGCGCCTACCCAAGGCAGTTGGAGGGTATGGGCAGCTCTGCCTACTCATGCTCTCCTGCCATAAAGCAGAGATGCCCGCTGCAAAACAAGCAGCACAAATTAATACCTTTTGTCACAACTACATTGTGGCAAGACAGAGTATGGACATCTATTTGCTTTGTGCCAGCATAAAACATTTTGTAGCAGCAGAAGAGCATGGAAAGGCTACATCTGTTTCTACCATAAGAGAGAAATGAGGTGCCACTGACCTTTTTCCTTCTTTTGTTCTAGTTTACTTTTCTTAGCCAGCAGCTTCTTCTCTTTCAACTTCTGGCTGTAAAGCAAGGAAAAAAAAAAACAAACTCTTACACAGAGGAAGAATTCAAGCCTTTCAAATTTTCTGTATTTTTTAAATCAGGAATTTACAGAGAATGTATTATATTATTTGACACACACACCGTTAAAGACAAGTTCTAGTCAAATTTGGCCTCAACATGCAAAACTGGAGCAAACAAGACCTACAGAAATGTTTCCCTTCTTGATTTTATTCGAATGAAACCCTTTATTCTTTTTTAAATCATTTCATTCCCTTAAAGCACTTACAACTCAAAAATGTGCCAGCGCATAAGAACTTCAAAATGAAAACTAATGAAAAGCAGAAGTGAAATTGACTCATCTATCTTCAAAGCCAACATAAAACACAGAAAAAGAAACAGTGGTAAAAAGCCAAATTATTAAAATCTTACATTAAAAAAATCCCTTAAAATATTGTTATTGGTAAAAATTACATTGAAAGCATCCCCTGAAACAGATTAATAATACATTATAAACTGATCTTCCTTCCCAATGTGTTTCTGCCTGCCCATAAGGAATAGGAGGACATTTCAGTCCCCATGGCCCATTTCTCACTGGCCCCCTTGGTCAAGAGTGCTGACAAAGGTAGCAATTAAAGTAAAAGGTGACAAGAGAGATTGACATGTGGACATTTGCTCACAGTTAATGCAACTGAGATCAAAGAGAAATTGCAGAGGCTCAGAAGTCATGTTAGTCTAGCAGTTTAAAGAAATAGTGTAATAAAATGGACTGTGGAATTTAAGTGTCTACTTTGTTCCAATGCAATTCTTATTAACAGGAATGTATACATATCAGTCCCATGCATGCTGATAGGTATCATTACAAGATGGACTTAAACATTATATTAACCAATGGTTCCATGTATTTGCTATATTTACAGACCCACACTCACAGATTGTAAGGCCGAAAGGGACCTCAGAGGATCATCAGGTCCAGCCCCCCGCACCAAGCAGGAAAGATAACTGGGGGTCAGGTGACCCCAGCAAGGCGACTGTCTAGTCTCCTCTTGAAGATTTCCAGGGTAGGCGATTGCACCACCTCTGGAGGGAGCTTATTCCACAGTCTGGACACCCTGACTGTGAAGAAGTTTTTCCTAAATGTTGAGCCTGAATCGATTTTCCAGGAGTTTCTGGTCATTACTCCTGATTTTTCCCTCAGGTGCCCTGGTGAACAGTTGCTCACGGAGCCCTTGATGTACTCCCCTAGTGTAGCGGTAAGCTGCTACTAGGTCCCCTCTCAGCCTTTTTTCCTCAGGCTGAAGAGTCCCAGATCCCTCAGCCTTTCCTCATACTCCATTCATTACTAGAGTAAGCAGGCACAGCTGTTAAATCCACAACACTGCAACTTTAGGCCAGTGGCCAGTTTGCAGTCTTTTGACTATCCACATGCAAACAATGAGCTGGCCTACCCACGCCAATTTATCTGCAATACTCATCCACAGTATCATCAGGTTTTTTCTGCTGGCCCACGTCCCAGCATAGACCCAAGATGCAAAGTCATTCTCTGAACAGCAGGTCCTTGGCTCCAATTGCTAGACATTCACACAGTCCAGATCTACATATAAACTCCTGCTGGCACAGCTATGTTCCTCAGGTGTTCAAGAAGCTGTGCCAGAAATAATCCTAGTTAAAATGCAATTATACCATGGTACTGCTGGTGCTGAAATAAGCTATGACAGCAAAGCCTTTCAAGCACAGGCCCAACCTTATAAAGGCAAGGACAGTGTTAACAAAAGTGATCCGCGCAGCATTTATCTCTAAAGTACGTGGCTACAGATAAAGCACAGCATTAAGGTTTTGACAATCTGCCCTCACCGCTTCTTTCTGCGTTTCGCTGTCTGCTCCTCTGCAATCATCTTATTCCTCTCCAATTTCTTTTGGAATTCCTCATCCAGTTTTTGCTGTAATTGATCACATGTGACACTTTGGTTACAAACCAAATTTAATATCATTCGTAAGCCACCTCCACTTAAAGAAAAAAATCTTTTAGCAAATAGCTGGGAGATTTGCCAGGAACCTATTGTTAAGATGCCTTCTTGTATTAAGAAAGATTGCATAGGTGAGTTTATGCAGACAATATTAACCAAAAACATCAAGGACTGAACCCAGATATCCATAATAAGGGGGTAGAAATCCTCATCAACTTCACTGGTGGCAAAGACATCAGGACCGTGTCCTACAGAGTATTAGAATAAAGCAGAATACCAGGAACATAAGCAGCAACATAGGAATTGAACGGCTTCTCAAACTTTATCAAGATAAGGAACCGACAGAGGGACACTGGTCCCTGAAACAGAGCTCCCATTGTATTATTGGTTCAGGACTTAGAAAGAAGTCCTAATATTAAAAAGGAGTCCAGGTCTCTGGACTCATAAAATCCTAATGCTTGTGTTCAAGTACTTGGTTTTATGCTTTCTTTGCAAGATAAGAACTTTTAAGGATTTCTTTTGATTTTTAAGAAAGCATGAACAATTCTGCTTACCTCACTAGCTAGAAAAAAAAAATCCACCCATTTCTATATTTAAGCACTCTTAGTCCAATTTGGAAACAGGAACATAAATATTTTGGCTTTATATGTATTCCCTAGAGTCACCCACTGAAGAGGAAGGATAGATCAGGTCCGTAGCGAAGCGCTGATATTTTAATATTATTCTTCAAAGGCCACACACATCCCATATTAAGAAAATAATTATAAGACCAGACAGTTTGGAACTAAGTTAGTCTCTCTTCTCATGATCTTAGGAAAAAATTATCCAGCGAATATCAAGCAGTCAGACAAATGACTGTAGTAAGAATCCACTGACCTTCTCAGCCATTGCATCCATAAAATCCTGCCTCTGATACTCTCTCCGGCGAAGATGGCGGTACACATGGAATTCACCACTGCCAGCTCCAGCACTAGAACCTGCCAGTGATACAGAAATGGTTGGAGAGTCAGCATACAGCACAGAGAAGAGCACACCAAGACACTCACAAATGACTCAATCTCAGACATGGTATACCAATAGTACTGTAGGCATGAGAAGTTTGCTACCCATTTTTATCAAGCTCAGATCAACAGGAAAAGCTAAAGCAAGCTATAAGATACTTGCAACTCAGTACTGCAGGATCTATCTACTGGTGAACAATCCACATCACTAAAACCATCATCACCGTTAGTTTGTTAATCAGAATGCGTGCTAGGAATATCAGCTGAATCTACACCAGCAGTTCTCAACCTTTTTAGACTCATGTCACCCTTTGGAAAATGCCAGCTTTTAGGTTTCACTCATTTCCTGACTCCAGAAAAATAATGGAGCGATTCTTCTGTTGCAGAGAATTCAATGGGTTCATAACAGATCGGGCTGTTTTTAACATGATGGATTCCTACATGAAATTCATGTGTTTACCTTGTGAATCATGTTTGCACGCTTAACAGTGCTAACATTAAGTGGCACCCCATAGCGCCCTTGAAAGGATCTCAAGACACTCCAGGGTATTAGAATTACCGCTCTAAACACTGAGTGGGCCACAGAAACCGCGCTCTCACACCCTGTCCTAGGCAGAGAGGCACAACTGAGAGGGAAACTTACACCTTGTTCTGCTACTATAGAGCTGAGGCTGTTTTCCCCTGCCTCTTTCCTATATTTAGCTAAAGGGAAAACAAGTACGGAAAACAAATAAGAGTGAACAGGCAGGTTATTCCCTCAACATAAAGTTAATCCAAACAAACAAAAAAACAAGCAAAAAAACAAACCAACTGAATAATAATTAATAAAAACGCCCAAGTGTCACCACATCCTGGTTGTACTCCTTGCTCAGACAAAGGCTCTGTGCGACCATGGACAAGGTAACTTCAGTTTCTTATCGAGACACAGAACACTTTTGGGGACGCTGATACGGAGACGCTTAGAAAGGGCAAAATCACACCCAACTTGCTATTCAGCAACGACTTGCATCCATTCACTATGGCCAGGTGTACAGACAAACTTCCTGGAGAGCCCAGCCTCTAGCTTTACTTTTCGTTCCATCCAGGAAGAGCGCACACCAACTGCTAAAACTTCCTCAGCCTGACAAAGGGTTTTTGAACCTGAAAGCTTGCTTAAAATGATTTTTTTCCCCCAACTATTTAAGTAGGTCTAATAAAAGATATCAGATTCACCCAAAGAGCCTTGTCTGGAGAGGTCCAGGCATTTATTCTGGACACCAACAGCAACAACAAACCTCAATGAAGACGAGAACTTCAACAACGACTTGGAGACAGTCCGGGCCCTTCTATGGGAAAGCAGAATAGACTCCCCCCGTCCTGCCACGCTTTCATCTAAGCCTGCACTGCTCAACCTGCGGGCGTTGGACACGAACCCCCTTACCCATGACATCTCGGACAAACTCTGGGGGAGGTCGCGGCGCCCACTCGCTCAGTTTCTCGGGGATGGGAACGGTCTTGTCCTGCAACAACAAACCAGCCGGGCGTCAGCGCCTGCCCCCGGGGAAGAGATCGCCATGTCCGAGCGCTACCCGGCGCAGTCCCAGAGCTGGCACAACCCAGGTGCCAGGGGCTGGGGACCAGCAGCAGCCGGGAGGAGGGGGAGGGAGCTTCCTCCCGGCAGGGGGTTTGTCCAGGGGGGGTCCCCCATTCCGGGCCGGGCCGGGCCGAGGGGGCTCAGCACCTCCCGCATGGCCCGGAGCGCAGGGGCGCGCGAGGCCGGGCCCCACCGGGTTCTTCATGAGGCGCTCCAGGCGCAGGCG